TTCATCCATCGTCATCAGCAGGCGTCGATTACCGGCGCAAGATTGCGCCGCAACTGGGATAATGAGTGGCAAGAAATAGTCGAACCCCGACGTAGGCCCATTCATCTGGGCGCGCGGTCTTTCGCCGTTGATGGCAGTTGCTCACCTGAGTTTTCAGGAACGGACCGCAAGCAAACGGAGACCTCGTACTTAATACGGATGTCAGTGGTCAAAGCGCACAACTGAAATCACCAGCATGCAAGGTGATTTAATCATACCAATGACGTATTTGAATTACAACCATTCCACTCACCACGTACATTTGGCGGACGAGCCCCGGAATGGCAGTGCGATGCCCTTTAACCCCGTCTCCATGGTCCCGAGTCGGGCTCTGCGCGACCCCCGTGACCTGTCACCCTTCACGAGCGGCGAGTGGGCAACGGCAATAAATACTGACATCGGTCACCTGACTGGCTGTTCATCTTTAGCTAAACTGCTGCTTTAGAACTCCATCTCGCCATGCTGATTGGACGCTGCTCAGCGGTTCACGTTTGAGCCACCGCTCAAACCGCCAGCCACGCTACAACCTCATTCGCTTACAATTCGGCTTGTATCGAGCCACTTCTGTTTGAAAGTCTGAAATGATGCTGATTGAGCTGTTTCATATCATGTATTCTATTTTCATGGAATTCTGTTCCCAGCTGCATTCTTCGAGGGCAGGATACCTCAGCGCATTACAACCGACTGGCTGTTGTGGTGCTGAGGCTACAACAGATGTATATGGATGCATGAATCCGATGTACGTTCCTGTGTCGACATGTGCTCTGTTTCGTAGGAGCTCAACTAGTTAAACTGCTAATAAATAAAGCATCACGGCCGTGGGAGTTCAGCTAGTTAAAATGCACACGTTAAAAATCACGAACCGCGTGAGTTCAGCTAGTTAACAAATTGCAAACAAATAAAGCGTCACGAGTCGTGGGAGTGCAGGTGGTTAAAATGCACACAAAGTGTCACGAACCATGGAAGTTCAGCTTAAGTGCAAACAAACAAAGCGTCACGAATCGCGAGAGCGCAGCTAGTTAAACTGCAGATAAACAGAGCGTCACGACCGAAACTGTCGCCTGCGATTCCAGCTTAACAAACACGCCAGGCGAACAGACACACAGCGGGCGATGGCTCATGATGTACATGTTGCGTCGATACGACAGTACCGTCACCAAGCGGCACGATTCAGCTGGCGCCGTCGCGTTCAGCGCCCGACCGCCCGTTAGCATCGGCTGACGCGGAGGTGGCACTCGCACCGCGACACGGCGCCTTTACGCGCACGAGCTCGATGTTTTGCCAGGTGTGAGATCGATTTGCCGTCTGCGTGTGACGGTGCGCGGGTGGCAGTTGTCGACGTCGTTCGGCCGCGTGGGCACGCCCGTCCAGCACCGCTGACCATGGCTTGGGGCACGATGGCGCGCGGCACGACCTGCGTCAAGACGGGTGAGCTGCTCCTGCGCGGTGCGGGCTGGTGCGTGAGTGTCTGTTCTGAAGCGGGACCCATCTCGGTTCATTCGCACTCAGATGAAGGGTCAAACGTGCACAGAACGTGTACAGCGTCCGCAGAGCTCGGTTCGAGGTAGCATGGTGCGTTATGCATCGCGTTCGCTTTATTCATATGGTGTTAGCCCAGCGGCACTTGCACCACGAGCGATGCCTGGGGCCAGACGCCCTGAAAGCTGTCAGAAAGCTGTCAAAAAGCTGAAAAAAGTCAGTCTGCGCGCAAGTCCGTCACATCTGGACTAGTGCCCTCAGAGTTTATTGTTTGTTTTCCTAAACCTTACAAGTACCGACATCCGGTCAGGAAAACATCGAACGGCTGCTAGTACCAAAACTCATCAGTTCATACACTGAGTAAGTTGTCGGCAGAGTATGGGTGTTATGCACACACACACCTGAAATGAGTTTCACTGTACACGTACGCTGCAGTGTTGGGCCTGCCCGTTGGCTCCCAAGCACGTCGGCTGCTGCCGGGTGCGAAGGGCGCCTCACGCGATCAGACGTGATCCGCTGACTGCCGGCCGTGTCGACAGCGTTCCCCGCGGTGACGGTGACCGGCGCGGAGCGGGGCGGCGCGCTCCAAGAGAAGGCCCAGGCCCGGAACGCCTCCCTCAGGTGGTGCCTGCTCTCCGTCTGCTGCGCCATCCTCGGCATCTTGGTACGCGCGCGCTGCCCAGCCTCAGAGACGGCTGCTCGGCAGGCCGTCAGAGGCTACGCGAGGTTCAGCAGCGTGATCCGGTGGTACACGAACGTGAGCGTGGCGGTGTCCATCAGCTGGCCGACTGACGTCATTAGGCGCCGGCGACTTGCTTGATGACCTCGTGACGCTTCGGGTCGGGGAGGGGGGAATAACGCTTCAGCAGGCTTTAACCAATCCGGAGTGGTTCATTGCGCCACATTCAGCAACGGCCTATTGTATGAGCTTCAGCAATATGACAAGTGGAGAATGTGACGCACGCTAGACTCTGTCCATCCACGTATGCTTCGCTTAGATGCGTCCGTTTTTCACGCGACGTTTGAACACTCGTGCTGCAGCGCCCGGACGCCTCACGCCAGCAGACGTCAGCTGACGCACGTGCGCTGATTCCCAGCTGATCGCTCTGGCCGGCTCCGTGCTGCTCAGCTGGCGCCTCGCGCTGCTGGGCAGGTCCGCCGCCCGCGCTCACCCCGGCGACGGTGCTGCCACCTCGAGCCCGCTGCAGACGCAGATCTCTCCGCCGGCAGTCGACCCGCCGCCGACGGCCGACCCGGCCGCCGCGGCCGCCGGCCCCACGTGAGCCGACGCTGGGATAGGGCGGAACGGTGTGGAAGGACCCACTCCTGATACCCGGATAGTACTGACAGCGGGTCCTGACGTCTGGTGCTGGGATGGCGCCGGCGTGGTTGAACCCGACTCCTGATACTCGGATCGTACTACTGGCTGAGCCTGACGCCTGGTGCAGGCCCCGACCACCGTTGCTAAGATTGCGCCGATCAAGGGACCTGGACCCTGTTCATCTACGATACTGAGATAATGCTATGGGTCCTGACCAGAGATCTTACCTTCTGGAGTTTGGGGGTGGGGGAGGGAAGAAGAGGAGGCTGAGTCAACAAAGCTGACCCATCCTACTCCAAAAGTCTGATTTTTCCTTGGACCCAGGCCTTTGATCTGCGTCCCTAATGCTTCTTAAGAACATATCTGGTCGGTTACAGAACTGTTTCAATGCTGAGAAATGGCTTCGCATTTGAAGACGATGTGATAGTGCTAATGATGATATGTGATGATGACGATGATGTTGAGTAATATTACGTATATATAATATAACCAGCCATGTACTCAGGTGCAATTTGCACGGCAAGTTGTGGGGAAAGCACGGTCCCGAAGAAAGATGGCTCACGTTGTTTGTAATAGTTAATGTTTATAATAATTTATATGAACAATAATAATTTACGTATAATAATGTAATAATTCATTCACTATAATAATTTATGTATAATAATAATGATGTATATGTATAATAATTTATGTTTGTAGCAATGCACTTGTGACTCGTAAGCCAACCGTGCAGCTAACTGAGGTCGAGGACAATCCTGCTAATTCAACCTTACACTTGCAGAAAAACCAGCAAACACTCGCGCCACCACAAGAAGCATCGCCTGTTCTTCATATTTTTCCGACGCCACATACCATCCAACTCGTCTGAGCATGACCAGCCCAGCACGCCGCGGCCGGGGACCACGCCTGCCAGCGGGAGGCACCGACAGCACCACATCGCCAGCAGGGACATGACCCGCTACAGCACGGGAGCCGACGACGCGCAGCCGGCTCAGCAGCGCGAGCGAGCCCCGGCAGAGCGTGAGGGCGCGCAGTCAGCGGGGAGCAGGGAGACGGAGGACAGCGACGACCGCTGGTCGGCCAGGGTCACGAGGCGGGCGGGGGCGGCAGCGGCCGCGAGGAAGCCCGCGAAGAAGATCGAGCCAGTCGTCTGGCCTCGCCGGCTGGAGAACGTCAGCTGAGCAGGCGGGCCGCGGCCGACCGCGATCCTTGTCCGGCGACTTGGACGAGGATGCTTTTCAGGGCTTCCGATTATGCCATGTGGGATGCAGTGGATGTGCATTGTGTGACCCCCCACCAGGACAAAGGGTTGTGCGAGTTTTAGCCTCGGGTTTGTGCTTGATTTTGGCGGGGATCTTGCAGCTCTATGCTTTCTCATAGTTCAGGGTTCTGCAATTGACCCCGATTTGCGTGACGTAAACATTCTTTCAGAAACCGCCAGCTACCTAGCTGAACGAGTTTGCGCTTTCTGGGCGAGGTATTTCGCTTCATTGTATTCATCTGCGAGTCTCCCCGGGGTTCAACGAAAGCTGCACCGATCGCACGCCATATAAACAGGAGTTCGAATCACGTCTTTCTCGCACCGACACGTGACATACCGCCAGCCGCCGCCGCCGGTGCAGCGGGCCGGCCGCATACCTACTCGCGGCTCCCGCCTTCCGACCAAAGAGAACGCCGGTCCCGAAATGGACCGGGAGGCCTGCTAATGACACCATTAGAGCCTTGGATTACTTACTGACTGTAGTGACATGATAAGCCGACTTAAATATTGAGTGAAACGTTTATTTCTTGTAAGGCACGGCAAAGCTCAAGGGACTGGGTCAACATCCTATGCAAGACGTCAGTCATGACCCCATGCAAGACGCAGGGTAGGTGTAGCTCCAGACATCAGACCAAAGTGAGGCTTCACACGGTACCGGCATCCCTGTCATCACGGTCACGAGGTCACGGACCACTGACCTCCCATGGCACGGCCGGGTTTCGGCAGTTCCTTCCGCGTCAGCGTGCAAGAAAACAGGTGGTTGTTTGGCCTGGGTCACATACCAGCAGGCAGAGACTTCTTCACAGAACTTTAAAAGGACACTGACGAGTCCTTAACACAGCATCGAGATCGATGGCACATCGCCGATCCGGCTGGCCACACGAAGTAAATCACGCGTCTTTACAACAGCTCCAGCTCCAGCTGGTCCTCTTCGGGAAAGGTCTGTACCTCTGCCGGCGCCTGCTCGCCCACGTCCTCAGCCGCCTGATCACCGGACGCAGCAACAGCATCCCCCTCATCTGGCGGACGTCGGTCCTCCTCCCCCTCCTCCGGAGAGGGACGCCGGTCCTCCTCCTCCTCCTCCGGCGACGGATGCCGGTCCTTCTCCGGCGACGAAGGACGCCGGTCCCCCTCCTCCGTCGGCGGAGGACATCCGTCCTCCTCCTCCTGCGGCGGAGGGCGCCGGTCCGGCGAGGTCGACAGAACCATCTCCGCTGCCGCCACCTCATCGCCATCTGCGCAGGCCAGCGCGTCGTCGACCGTAGCTGGCGCTTCCGGAGCTTCGGACGCCGGCGAGCGCACCACGCCGGCCGGCCGAGCCAGCGCCGGACCGCCACCGACTGGAGCGTCGCCGGCGGCCGGAGCGTCACCGGCGGCCGGAGCGTCACCGGCGGCCGGAGCGTCACCGGCGGCCGGAGCGTCACCGGCGGCAGGGGCGTCACCGGCGGCAGGGGCGTCACCGGCGGCAGGGGCGTCACCGGCGGATGGAGCGTCCCTGGCGGCGTCACCGGCGGCGGGGGCGTTACCGACCGATGGGGCATCACCGGCCGATGGGGAGTCGCCGGCGGCTAGAGCACGGCCCAGGCTCTTGGCTAGCCGGGGCCGCGGCCGGCCCTGCCGACGAGCGGGCCGGCGGCGGACGGCGCGGCGCGGCGTCGGCCGCTCGCTGGGCCGCGGCGGCTCCAGTTGGTGCCCCACCAGCCGGCACCAGCCGACCGGGAATATGTCCGGACTGGACGCGTCCACCCACTGGTCGAACCGCTCCTCCCAGCCGTCGAAGTGGATGCGCAGCAGGCGCCCGACCACGGCCGCCACGGTCGCCACGCACACCAGCTGCGGGTCCATGAGATCCACTGCCTCCAGCCGCTGGCCCGGCTGAAAGCCGTGCGAGAGCGGCGGTCGCTGGAAGAGCCGCGCCGGCGCCGCCTGCGCGCCCGGCTGCGAAGCCAGGTACGCCTCCCAGCTGAAGGTGTCGGCCGCGTGGCCGTGCGGCGGCGTCAGCGCCACGCCCACGGTCCGGCAGAACCCCGGCGGGAATATGTACGGCGAGCTGGCGTGGTAGCAGAACCAGTCGGCGTCGGCGCGCCCCGGCTCCGGCGGCAGCGACTCCAGCCGCACCATCAGGAAGTGGTTGCCCAGCACCTGCATGACGGTGGCCACGCCGATGCTGCCCAGGTTCAGCGGGTCCAGCGCCTCCAGCTTCATGCGCACCTGGGGACGGCAGTCGGGTGGGGTGGGCGGTCCAGTCATCACTCACACTGAGTCACAGCGGGGCAGACTAAGAACGCCACACGATACGGACGCGGCTCGCCCACCGGTCAGACACCAACCAGAGCGACGGCGGGTCACGCAGAGATGCGCGCAACATATCACCACAGAAAATCGGTCCGAGAATGAGAGAGAGGAGAGAAAGTGAGACGACAAAATCGGTCCGAGACCATTCTACCCGCCAGCGGCGCACCTTGAAGCCCTCGTGCGTGATGGGCGGCGGCGCCGGCAGGCAGTCCTGCGTAGCGTCCGTGGGCAGGAAGGAGCCCGTCTCGCAGCGCGCCAGGTAGTCGTCCGGCGCCGACAGCCGGTGGCCGACGGCGCGCGCCCAGCCCACCGGGTGCACCTGGCGCGGGGGGGGGGGTACATCACGCAGCGCTCACCCCACCGGCGTCCGACGCGTCCCCCGGGCGTGCCTGCTACATGGGACGGGGACAGGCCGCTCTCTCCGCTCCCTCTCCCTCCGAATCTCACATCCATACCCAGATTAAGGGAGATTAGGCACGGATGGCACAAAACCACAGCGGGAGCAGTTTTAGAGGATATTTAGCACTCGCTAGCTGCAGAAGTATTGCAAGTTGGCACGGCCGATTTCAGCGACATAGGCACCGGAATACAAACTGAGCCCAACACCCATACTTGTAAATCACCATTTCCCTGAGCTTCGCCGACGAATAACACAGCCCTCTGTCAACAAAGCTCAACGCACCACCACCTGACCACAGCTACCGGCTACACGCCCCACATCGCTGACGTCACAGCCGGCGAGGCGCCGCGCACCCGGCGGGCGGCGCGCGACTCACCAGCGGCGAGTTCTCATGACACCAGAAGCCGCCGTCGTCGTCCGGCGCGTCCAGGTAGTGCACGTGCAGGCGGCGGCCGACCACGCGGCTGACGGTGGCGGCGCGCACCTGACTGATGCAGCTCTTGTCCACCACCTCCACCGTCTGGCCCACAGCGAGCTGGGAGCTGAGGCCGGCCACCACCTGCGCCGCAGAGCAGCGGGCCTCAACAGTCGCGGTCGCCCGCTGCACCGCACGGCAGAGCGCCTCAGTGGACAATACCGGTCTTCCGGTGGAAGCCGTGGGACAGTGTGCCCTACAGTGGACAACACTGACCTTCCGGTGGAAGCCGTGGGCAGTGTGCCCTACAGCGGGCAATACTGACCTTCCGGTGTAAGCAGCGGGACAGTGCCCTACAATGGACAACACTAATTTTCCGGTGGGCGCTGTCGGGCAGTGTGCCCTATAGTGGACAATACTGACCTTCCGGTGGAAGCCGTGGGCAGTGTGCCCTACAGTGGACAATACTGACCTTCCGGTGGAAGCCGTCGGGCAGTGTGCGAGTGCCGATGAGCCGCTGCACCAGCAGGCGCTGCCAGTCGGCGCGCGGCCGGGCGGCGGCCGGCGGCGTCAGCGGCAGGCCGTGCGCGGCGCACCAGCCCACCGGCTTCACCTCCTCCGAGCAGAGGTCCACCCAACGGTCCCGGCTGGCGTCGTTGCCCATGCCCTCGAAGCGCACCAGGCCGCGGTAGCCCTGCACCTGCAGCACGGCCGCCGGCCAGTAGGTGGCGGGCGCGCCGCGGCCGGCCGGCCGCTCGGCCACCTCCACGCGCAGCCCGGCGCCCACGGCCCGCCAGGTGGCGTTCAGCGGCGCGTGTCCGAAGCAGCAGACGGGCGCGGCCGTGAACGTCGGGTCACGCATCAGGCTGTCCCAGCTGAACGCGTCCGGCGCCGACTGGCTGGCCGGCGACGGCGGCGGGCCGGCAGAGTCGAGGCGGCATCCCGCGGTGGCAGCGGCGGCGGCGGCGGGCACCCGGCGGGCGCCGCCCGAGCACCGCTGAAGACAGAAGACAGGTCAAATAGGAAACCAATAATTGCGATGTAACATGCAAATGTATGTATCATGTATGATATATGATATAAAACGTGCAAGGTTGAAATGAATAAAAGATAGATCCAGGATTGATGGAAAGTTATAGTGTGATACCATACCTTGATCTTTTTGTATTCTTGCTTCTGCTGATCATTGCCATCACCATCCCTCCCCCTCCTCAACACAGGTTGATCCTTATCAGCAGGCGTAGGCGTGATCTGGCTGATTGGCATCTGGAAAATGAACTTAACATACTACAATTGTACTAATACACCAGAGACATGAGTGACATGAATGATAGATAGATCCAGCATTGATGAAAAGTTATAATGTGATACCCTACCTTGATCTTTTTGTATTCTTGCTTCTGCTGATCATTGTCATCACCATCCCTCCCCCTCTTCAACACAGGCTGATCCTCATCAGCAGGCGCAGGGATGATATGGCTGTCAGGCATCTGGAAAATTAAGTAAACACATTACGATTGTGCTGATACACCAGAGACATGCCCAGTATTCATAATCACCGCCATTCAAGTCATGCATCAACTTTCATTATGCCACACTAAATGCTGTGGTCATGCCAAATATATATATATATATATATATATATATATATATATATATATATATATATATATATACCCTACCTCACCTCATGGTGATCGGAATGATAAAAGATCACTAGGCCTGTAGGCTCCCGTCTCGTCACAGTCCCGGTCCATTAACCAGTCTCGAATTATGGGAAGATTCGGTGTGGGACGTTGTACATGATGTCAGCCCAGTGCAGAAAGTCAAAGAAAATGTGTTCCTGGTCAAATTGCAAGATATTTTCAGAGAGACCCAAGCTAATTGGAATATGGCTTCACTTTAAAGGTCCATTCATAAATTTCATTGCATATTCAGCAGCCTTCCTTTTTAGGGCGTGCCGGTGCCGGATGAGCCAACGATCCGTGCGCCTCTTTACCGGGAAGAAGCGGAGGGGGACCTGGTCCTCCCTTTTGAAGATTTCCTTCATAGCACGATCTTGGCCGTTGCTCCTCAAGCCATCGTGTTTTCCCCCAAAGCGGCCTTCTACAACAAATGTTGACGCTTTACCAACACTTTCAGTGTCAGCCTGAGGCCGGCTGGGCACTAAACATACTTCAACTAACTCGGCGATATCCGGAACATTTGCGTGCAGACCTGTCTCAGGTCGCATAAATGATCGGAGCGCCGCCTCCGGCAGCCAGCGGACGACACCGCTGCGTGTGGGCAGCCACTCGTCTCCGAACCGCTCTCGCTCCGCCACCACTCTACGCCTGAACTCTCTGAACTGCCACAGGAGGCGCGCACACCTCGGTCCCAGGCACGTGGCATTGCACGGCCTCGGAAGAGTCAGGGGTCCGCCCCACAGTCGAGTCGCGAGGTCGACTAGCGTGTCGTTAGCGTAAGTCTCTAGGTCCGTTTTGTTGGTCGGATAGCGCGCGATGTCCAAGATGTCGGTCATGAGTCCCTCGACGTCGGTTTGTCCTCGATACTTCTCAAGGTCTGGGAGTGCAAGGAGTGTCCGCGCAACCTCACGCCGTCGGTGAGTCACTTCCGGCAGGGCGTCAGTGGACGCGTCGGGTGTGTGTGTGTCAGAGAGTTGCCTGCGACTCACCTGTGCTGGACCGCCACTCAAAGCACCGCTGACGACCGCAGGTCCGTCCTCCTCCAGACGACCCTGGAAGTCAGCGTCAGTCAGCTTCGCCATGTCCTGTCGGAACCGATGCACGGCCACCTCGTCGTCAAACACCGTGCATGTCGCGGCCTGGCCAGCTTTACCAAGCGTGACAGCGGGGCGCATGATGTCGAGCACTGCCAGTGCATTGGAAAGGAACCTGGCGTCCCGAAGGGAATTTAGGGCTGATTTGGCATTGTTTTTGTCGATGTCACCACTCGCAATGCCATCCTTGAGCACTGCTGCGGCCACATCGGCCACACCGCGGCCACATCGGCCACACCGCGACGACATCGCGGCCACATCGGCCACACCGCGGCCACATCACGGCTCGTCAAAATACGTTTAATGGCCTCTACCGAGTGCGCCACGAATCGCGTCTCAATAAGGCGCTGAAAGACCACGCATAACAGGCCCAAGTCTTCAGCTGTCCGTCCAGTTTGCCGCTTCAGTTTTGGCGAAGCCGTGAACACGGTTATAATCGAATTTGGTTGCTGGAAAAAAGCCTCCACCCACGCACATGTCTGATGGTGCTTAATTTTGTCCAAGAGAGACTCCAGCAGCTGCGGCTGGTCACTGAGGTGCATGAATGATGGATTTCCATGCAGCTCTCTCCAGATGCGGCCGAAGCCACTGACTGGTCCCGAGTACACGGTCTCGCAGTCCGAAGAAGCAGAGAGGACTTGACGCCCAATTTCGTCCATCGTCAGTTCCAAATCGTTGTTAAGATAGTCAGTCACGTGAGCGAGCACACCCCGCCCGTTGGTCCCGTTGCATCCAGTGACTGCATCACACTGCCGCGGCGGGAGGGTGGCTGTGTAGATGGGAACGGGGTCAGGATACGGTCTCACCACTGCGGTCGTCCCGTGAACTACCACAGTGCTGCCGTCGGTGTCAAGAAGTCGCAAGTTCACAGCCTGTAGCGCACGCCAGTCACTGTGACCTTGTCCATGGACAAGTGCATGTGCCGGGCACGTCCACTCACAAGGTTTGGCGTCTTGATGTGTTGCTTCAGCTCGTCTTCGAAAACGTCATAAATCACGTCCACAGACTGGGCAGCGGCTCGGTGAGTTTGATGATGATTGCCAACTTTGACCTCCAAGGTATCCAGAAGAAGGTGTTCGCGTTCAAAGTCGGCATACGTATGACCACGGGTAATCATGTCGTATGCGATGGTCAGGTTTTTCAGTGGCCTCGCGACGCTCCTCACTTTGCCGCTGCACCAGCCTGGCGGGGGGTCCCGCCCTGCGTGTCCGCTCTGCCGTCACAGAGAGTCAGTGTCGATTCGAGGCCGCATGCTTTGCCAGCCGTTGTTTTTTTTCTGCCGTCCAGGAGAACACCTTGATCAGACCACGGGTCCGTGGTGCCTCTGTCGGTGGAGTGGCGGGTGCACCGCCGACAGATGCCATACTCCTTGTCCCCGCGTGTCAAGTGGTAGCCAGTTGTCTATGTCGCCGTCTGTTGTCGCCTCAGTGTCCGGTTGGGTACCTCTGTCGATATTTGTCAGGGTGATCGGCACGTCCCGCGTCTCGTCTGTGGCCGTCTGCCTACGTCCTGATGAACAAATGGTCAGACTCTCGAGTTGAGCCAGGCATTTGCCAGTCATAGCCTCTCGCCGCCGGTGGCATGTCACAGCATGCACATTTCTTCACTTCAACAAACGTAGTCGGCATTCCTCCAAGCGCATGCACGTCCATGCCTCCTACCACAACTGCATTTCCAGTCTGCCCCGCCCCAACATTTTCTACGGCTCTGCTCTCATCCACCACCTTGCTTCCTACAGCGGGCACTCCTCCCCCCATCTGCACGCCACAAGCCAGCGTCACCTCCACATGCTCACTCTTCACCACCTTGCCTCCTCCAGAAGCCATGATTCCATCCACATGCACAAGCTCACGAGCCTGTTTCACCCCCGCGTGCCTGCTGTCCACCACCTCCTCGCTCCTCAGAAAGCCACACTTCCATCCACATGCACACCACGAGCCTGTTCCACCACCTCCCTGCTGCTCTCTCCACCACCCACCTTGCCTCCTCCGGAGTCACACTTACATCCACTGCCACCAACGACCTGTTTCCACCTCCCATGCATGCCCTCCCAACCACCTCGCCTCCTCCAGAAGCCACACTTCCATCACCGGCAGCACCACGGAGCCTTCCAACCACCTCCACATGCATGCTCTCCACCACCTTGCCTCCTCCGGGAGTCACACTTACATCCACATGCACACCACGAGCCTGTTCCACCTCCACATGCACGCTTTCCATCACCTTGCCTCCTCCGGGAGTCACACTTACATCCAGATGCCCAGACGCAACACCGCGCGACGTCGACGGACCGTCGGGTCCTCCGCTGTCGGGCTGTGATATCAACAAGTCCTTAACCGCACCCTCCTCATACCTCTTCTGACGAACTGACTTCGCCTCCGCTCTTACACATTTCTGCACAAAACCTCGAAGCTTTTTCGGGCCGACCTGGTGCTGGGATCTGGCGTGTCTTGGCAGATTATGCTTTGTCAGCCGCTTGCCACAGGTGCTGCAGGGCACCAGGTCGCCGTCCTTAATCACTTGGTGAGGGCGTCCACGGCCCCGCATGGCCAAAGGGATCTGGAGGAAGGATGGCAATGATGACGAGGTCGCGTGCTACCCTGAGCTCTGTCGACCGGTGTCGCACCATAAGTTCTGCCACCTAGCGGTAAAAAGTGGAATAAGCGGTGATGAATTTTTGTAGATGGCAGCACTTACTGCCACAACCAGCAGTACGCATGACTGTGGAGGGCACATATGTGGAAACTGCTGTGAAGCCACTCAAGGCACTTTCCTGAAAAAAATGTATTTTGGCTCCATCATTTCTTGTATATCCCCCCACATCTGCAGCTGGTTGGAGCACATCCTGAAAGTAAACCTTGAATGTGTTCCTAATTTTTGTCAAGGCATAAAAGCTTGCTATTGACATATTGCTTTGAGCTTGGCTATTGCAGTTGAGGAATGTGTGATGAAATTCGACCAGCATAAAATATTCAGACAAGAGTCTTGGGCTCATGCACATAAACACACTGCCAAACTGTACAAGTACTTTTGACATACTTTTGGCTTCTGTTAGAATGGGATGAGAAAACTTTATGTCACTGGTTCTCACAAAAATTATGTACCTACCATCACTTCTATGAAAGTAATGTAACTAAGCCTAACCTAGCAAAGCTTTACCTCAACTCATCCTGACTAGCCCATTTATATAACAGCACCATTTGTGAGTCACTGATCCTGTAAAATTTCTACTGTTTCTTTCTGTGCAAGTAACCAACTGAACCAAACTTAGAGTAGCCCATATGTTGAACATCATCTTATCATATCTGATATATTTCTTGATAGCAGCCTTTGTGGTAAAATCACAATGCAGCTTGTTTTCAGCTAGTATCAACTTGTGTTTCAGTTCAATTTATTTCTGCCAGCTTGTTGACACCGCAAGTTGATGTCAAAGCAAAACCTAGCAGCCAACTGAGAGGACAGGCCTATGTATAAATTATTTACACTGCTTCTAATAACTTATTCTGATTGTCATGGTTTCTCTCTGTCAAGGGCAATAGTAGGTGTGATCCACAAGACAGTGTCTTCCAACTGTAACTTCAGGATGGCCACAGAACCAGCTTTGCCACTTGCCTTTTAAATTGCAGCAAAGGTAGCTAAGCTTGGCTATTAATACTTAATTATTGAAAGCTTGAAATGTTGGCTTTGCATTAAAAAGGGGATGGTCTATTTGCTGGACACCTAGAGCTACCTTATATCATCATAGTTATGCAGCTTAGGGTATTGTTGGTTAAACATATTATTCATTCCACAGCACTCATTTGCCCAGTCAGCAAACTATCACCACAATGGACAACATCTTGTTGAGACAGGCATGAGGGACCACTGCAACAAACTTAGGGCAAATGTTTACAAGTATGGGACAAAATAGCTTAATTACATATCTTGTGGAATCATAATTTGTGTCATAAACAAGGTTTGATGAATATCAAACAGAAAATGGGCAAACCTGGTTACAAATAATGATCTGAAAGCAGGTCAAGTTCACAACTAGGTGCCCCACAGGAGAAAATTGCTGGTGGGCAGGCTTCTTTCTGCTCTTTCAAATAAAGCCAGTACCTTCTGCATGGCTTGCTCACAAATAGGGTCATCCAACCCAAACATAAAATATAGTTGTCCATCATACCCAACATACATCAAAATGCAAAATAGTAAAGATACCCTCTGCACTACACTCATGAGGGGAACAGAGTTTTGCTGGGCAGAATATTGCTGGTTAACATTTCTGGATTGGCCATGTCAGTTCTGTCCAAAAGGATCAGCTGCAAAATAATTTAACACAGTGAGGCATTGAACCTGGATTGGCTTCAATTTATCATTACTGAGCCCCACTTTGAACCCCAAAAACATCAAAACAGATAATTAATTAGGGATAATTTCCACTATACCTAATTTATTCCTTTGAATTGTCTCTTTCATTTGCTATGAATCATTCACTCCTTGGGTGCATATCAAAATGGTTTAGGCAGCTGGCAAATATATCTGCTATATGCATTAAATATGTACAAGTCTGCAATTGAAGAATTTTTCAGCAAAATTTGCTTATATTTTGGGCTATAGACTGCATCTACTAAAATCATCAACAAGGTAGGATTTAAGTATTTGTATCACCTATATGCTATACCAAGAAAAATGGCAGGAGAGGAATAAGCAAAAAGGCTTAGAGTTGCTCAGTCAAATTTTTATCAAGTCACTTGAATAAAAACCTGTCAAAAAGAGTGCTCAAGTGGTAAGATTTTGCCTTTAAGCTCCATTTAGAAGTCTTTTCTTGAATTTTTCACTCCCACATTTCAGGAGCAGTGCAATTTGGTAGCCAAGTCTTTTTTGAGTAAAAGATTATGTGCAGTAAAACTCTCCACCAGGCCCTGCATGGTGCTTGCATGGCATGACCCCAAAAAATCAGGGATGCATGAAACCTTGCATTTGGCACACAGCTGCACAGGTTGATGGTATTTTGTACACAAACCAAGATCAAGTGCAACCAACTTGAGTTGGTAAAACTACTGGGCTTGGAGGTAACTACTGTCCTTGCTCTGTGCATACATACATGATTAAGACGTAGGTGGAGGCAGGATGTGGCCAAAGGTGTCCAGGTTCTGTGGAGCCTCGTGTATGCTTAGTGGTTCCAAGTAGGCTAGGACTTTGATGATATCTTAAAAACGTGAGAGGAACATATGGGTTTAGTATGTGTGGTTAGATAATTTCAGGCAGGAGTGAAAAATTCAAAAAACATGGGGAAAAGGAGTGAAAAATTCCTCCTCGTATGTCGCTGGTCCCCACCCCGAGTCGGCAATTCTACGACACTGACGGAAACAGCGGGCGGGCGCATCAAAGACAACACGCCGAAAAATGAAATCATTGCGCCACAGATGAAAATATCAAGGCACATCATAGCACTATTCTACTGCTGTCGTCTCCTTGAACCCCGCGGAAAGCAGTCTTTCATTTGCCTCACTTTACACATAAGAAAACGCGTTACGCCAAACTCGTTCAACGTAGCAGTGACATCACGGCAAGCATTTCAGAGCATGTGCACCGAACATCCGAGCGCTCAGAGTTCGGCGTATGACTGAAAACAAATTTCGGCGCACAGAGGGCCGCTGTCTTACGGAATCACAATGCTGCGAGAGTAAATGTAGGCAAAGAAATGCCGCAAATACATCTTTTGTGCACAAATGAACTAAAAACTCAGCAAAATTTGGCTTGGCCTCTCTTTGATGCGACCGACCGCGAGGTTCAGCACACTGATGCCGAGAAGGCGGCTGGCTCAGTGGGTAGATTGTGTTTGCAAGCTGACCTCACCCCAAAGCCTTTGCCAATCAACTTATTGTGTGTGTGGTAAGCAGGGGCGTAGTTCCGCAAAATGAGTTGGAGGGGCTGAACAGGGAAAAATAACCCAATTTGCCACTCAAAATATGCCAACGAACAGGTTTCTCCCGTTATTTTATTCACTTTTCCCAAAAGCTAGAGGTCTGAAGACCAAACTGATCTGCCTATAATTTCGACGACAGAAAAGATCAAAACTTACCATTTGTTACCAATTCACCGGGTTCGTCCTACAGAAAGCCAACCAAGCTGCAATCAATGTCGCTTATCTTGTGCGGTTTGAACTAATACTTTTGACCGTTGGCTCCAGCTTGTCGGTTTTCGAGACGACCGAAGGTCTCCAAGTCCCGCTATCGGGCGATAAATTGGGAAAATGCTCGTATTAACTGGTTCAAGCGTGCTTTCTCTCCGAGGTGACCAATGATTTTTAACGACGACGATGCACACCACTATATATATATATATATATATATATATATATATATATATATATATATATATATATATATAATGTATAAATATGTATGTGTGTGTGTGTGTGTGTGTGTGTGTGTGTGTGTGTTGTGTGTGTGTGTGTGTGTGTGTGTGTGTGTGTGTGTGTGTGTGGTGTGTGTGTGTGTGTGCGCGTGTGTGTGTGTGTGTGTGTGTGTGTGTGTGCGTGTGTGTGTGTGTGTGTGGTGTGTGTGTGTGTGTGTGTGTGTGTGTGTGTGTGTGCGTGTGTGTGTGTGTGTGTGTGTGTGTGTGTGTGTGTGTGTGTGTGTGTGTGCGGGGGGATGTATGTATGCATGCATGTATAGGAGGAAACCGGCTGAGTGCTTTGCAGAGAATACTGGGTCCCGTGCGTCTGCTTAATCGTTTGTAGCCTCTTAACAAGACCCCGATTTCACCACCCCAGCGGTGGGATTCCGGTTCAGCGGACTGCCTCTGCCGGATGATTGGAATGTCCCATGTAATGTTACAACGTGGCTGCCCGTACCGGTCTGAGTCACTTAGCCAGTTGTCAGTTGGCTATCATAGACGAGTCACACAGATGTGCGTATGACAGACACTGGTTCGACGCTCTAGGAAATGAGTTTCAGAAACGACTCCCGAGAGCACACAGATACAAAGTCGCACGTCATTACCCCTACCCGAATTTTGTACCTAAGAAAGTACGTGATGTTCAAACAGATATCGCTGTGTAAAATGCCTGCTGCCGGATGTAGGCAGAGGCTGTTCCGTTGCTGTTGGGTCTGTGCACACTATACGATGAACAGGCGTTCAGCATGCTGGCCGGGGGGTCCAGCCGTCGGTCTGTCAGCTGTCGTCGTGTCGACGGGCAGCGGACCGGACGGACGCGGCCGGACGTTGCCCGCCTCCGCCTCCGCCTCCGCCGCCGGCAACGCCGCTGGCGACTCCCTGGCTGCCCGGCTACCCGGCAGCACCGAGCGCGTGCGAGGCGCCCGCCCGGGAGGCCTCGGGAGCCCCGGTCACGACCCGCGGCGCCCGCGCTCGCGTGCCGCGGCCGGTGCCGGCAAGCCGCCCTTGACGCTCCCATTTTCGCCATCGGTTGCACCGGCCGGGCGGGGAAAGTTTGCCATTGACGCGGGAACCACGTGGCGACCACAGCCTCGGGTACGTTTCTCTTCGCACATCAGCGCAAATCGGAGTCAGCCCTGCGTCTCAATGGCGGGACTCTCGGATGTACTACCGATGCTGGGTGATGCAGGCATTGGCCAGTGGTTATCTTCCGCACGTCGGCGGTGTAGGTGAGCCCGCTGTACCGCAGACCTGGAACATTATGACTGATGAGGCGCCCAATTACACGGAAGTTCTAGCGAACTCACTTCAATGTCAAACGTTTGTGGTCCAGTTTGTCCTCTGTCCGCCATCTTGTCATTCATTCAAAGACATCCAAACCTGTGGCATAGCATACTTATTAACCTATGCTCAGGATTATCGACTAATGCCGATGGTATACAGAGAGAGAGAGAGAGAGAGAGAGGAGAGAGAGAGAGAGAGAGAAGAGAGAGA